TATTCAACAAATTACTCAACACTTTATTATAAAATAGGCTTTGTGTTAGATAACTTTACCCAACTTTAAGTGGTCTGAGCATGTTTAAGGTAGGCTAGGCTAAGCTATGATGTTCGGTAGGTGTATTAAATGCATTTTCGACTTACAATATATTTTACCCACGATGAGTATATCTGGACATAACAGCATCGCAAATCAAGGAGCATCTGTAAATCCAGTTAAAAGCTAAGATTTCAAATAAAGCTGCTCCTTCTCACATTTCTCCACTAATTTTAAGACAAACAAATTAAGAGAATTACACAGTGCAGAAATGGCCCAGACCCAGACCCAGGCCGACAGCTTATAAAGCAGTCAGGCCCAGAAGGCCCAGTCAGAGGGGCCCCACTCTACCCCCCAGCTGGCAGGTCACTGTCCTCCCCCACTTCCCACAGGTTTCTAAGCTTTGCCAAACTGGTTGTAAAAGGGCTCTGCAAACAGCCTAATTCCATAGCTAGCCCCCTCCCAGCTACGTACACAAAGAGAGAGAAATAAAAGGATACTTTGTTCATTTTTTAAAGCTCACAAGATACACCACTAAACCCCAAGTTCCGTGTGTGTGTTGGGTTTTTTTCTTTTTCTTATTGGAATCTAGCTTAATGCACTGTGGTCACAGATCTAGCCTGTTTGATACTTGTCATTTGATAATTGTTAAGACTTGCTTTATGCCACAGTTTGAAGTCACTTTTTATAAATGCTCTGTGTTTGAAAATAATGTGTATTCTGCTGTTTTGATATGTATGATTCTCACATACCAGCTCAAAGTTATTAATTGTATTGTTCAAATCCTGTATGTGGTAATTGACCTTTTTCCCACTTTATCAAGAACTGAGAAAGTATATTAAAATTTCATGAGAATATATATTTCTCATTGTAGTTCTTGCTTACTTTATATCAAGGCCATGTTATTAGAGACAATAATCTTTTTATATTTGAGTTGCAACTTTTTAACCAATATGATCCTCTTTGTCTCTAAAAACATTTTGGGGACATTTAAATTCTATTTTGTCTGATGTCAATATTGCCAGCTTTCATTTGGTTTTTAATCACGCATTTATTTTGTTTTACTTCTAACCTTTCTGTATCCTTATATTTTACACATGTCTTTCATAAACAGCATATACCTGAATTTTCATTTTTCATCCACTCTAACAATCTCTGGTGCCTTTAGACTTATTATAATGACTAATACATATGGATTTGTTTCTACATCTTATTTTGTACTATTTATCTTGTCTATTCTATACTTTTCTCAGCTTCCTTGACTTTGAGATTATTTTTCTCATTTCAATTTTCCCCATTAGCTAGAAAGTTATTCATTCTTTTACTAATTTTTAGTGGTTGCCTTAGAAATTTTAACATGCATGCTTTACTTGTAAGTCTAAATTTAACCAATATCTTTAACTTCCTCCTAAACTATGCAAGAATTTTAGAAGATATTAACTCCTTTTGCTTCTACAACCTATGTCACTTATTTTATCTAGTTCCCACTGAAGACATTATTATTATTATTATTTTGTACAATCAACATGTGCTTTAACATACACATTTTCCCTTTCTTTGCTCTTCATTACATCCTGCTTGTGAGACCTTCCATCTGGAAATGATTTTATTTTGCCTTAAATACAGTTGACCATCGAACAAGGTGGGAATTAGAGGTGCTGACCTTCATGCAGTTGAAAATCCACTTATGAGTCTACAGTTGACCCTTCCGCATCTATGGATTCAACAAAGTGCAAATGGAAACTGCGGTGGGAATGTGAAAATACTGAACCCATCCAGGGTTCATTGAATCCTCAGATGGGAAACCTACCGTTACCACTACATTTATTGAAAAAAAATCACAGATAAGTGGGCCTGCACAATTCAAACCCATTTTAATCAAGGGTCAACTCTATATCCCTTTAGTGAGGATTGCTAGAACAAAGTCTCCAGGTTTTTGTAAGTCTGAGAAGTATTTTGTCCTTGTTTTTTAAAGATTTTTTTTCAACAGAAATAGAATACTAAACTCAGAGTTAATTTCTGTCAGTGCATGAAAGATAATATTCTGCTGTCTTCTGGCTTCTGTTGTGGCACTGTCAGGATAACTTGTCATGTCTTTGAAGATAAGCTGCCTCTTCTCTCTGACCTCACTGAAGATCTTCTCTTTACCTTTTCTGTTCTGCAATTTCATTATATTTTGTCTATGTGTGGATTTCTTTTTGCTTATCCTGATTGGGATTCATATAACTTCATGAATATATTAAGTGATGCTTTTTATTGTTCCTTGAAAATTCTCTGATATTACCTCTTTATATGTTGCCTCGTCCTATTTTCTCTTCTTATTCTGAAACTATAATTAAATTTATGTTGAAAGTGAATTCTCTATCTTCCACATTAACCTTTCTATTCAGTTTTTCATTACTCTGCTACTCCATGTTGCCATCTGAAAATTTTCTCCAAATCTGTCATTCAGGTGAATATTTCCCTGTTCCACTTGGATTAATACATTGTTAAATCCATACATTGAGTTATTTTTAATTATTGTATTTTCATTTTTTCAAGTTCTATTTGCTTCTTTTTCAAATCAGCTTAGTCTTTACAGTTTCTTTTCTCAGCTTATATTTTGTGTTTAGTGATTTTTTTTTTAACTATGAGATGCTCATTTTCCTTCTAATTTTATTGGTGGGGATTCTCCGAAGTCTTTGATAAAAATAGACTCCTCCAAAAGAGGGAGAAATTTTGGTTTCTGCTTAGTACCAGGGATACTTCCAATATAGAAAGTCTTTAAATCAAATTTTCATCTTGAGGTTTTCCTGTCCACCTAGTTATTACGATTCCAGATGCACACTTGCATTAGAGCTGGTTTAGAATCACAAATTCTCAAGACCAAATAATTAGGCATCTACTAAGTAGCAAGGTTTATGATAAGTGATTTTCCTTACAGTCTCCTAGGGTTGGAAAGATTAAATGATATTTTTGTTTTTATTTTTAGTCCCAGCTTTATTACTGAAGGATACACACCCTCTTAAATGTCTTACCTTGTCTCTCCACTACCCTCAGGCCATGAAAACAGAAGTTCAAGTTAAGCTGGTTTAGCAAATGTCCTCAAGGCAAAAGCCAGCTTCATAGCCCAGGAGACACTTCTTCACTTATGTTTTGGCTTAAATATTCATTACTTTCTTACTGGTTCATAGCATTTAAGAAAATTACCTTTCTATTGTAACCAGCATTTTTAAATCGTTTCAGCAGGAGTGTTGGTAAATTATATTGCTACAAACAAAATTCAACCCTGGCAATTTACATTCAAAGCCATGGAGACTTGGAGTTTGATAGCCATATCAGGAACTGTTCTAGTCCAAAAAATATTAGTTCAGTGACGGCCATTTTGAAATACCTGCTGATATTTTTTGGCACTTCCTACGTACCAGGTATTATGGTAAACATTTTACGTATATTATTTTATTTAATCCTTACAATGATCCTAAGGGCTAGGTATAATTACTATCCCCATTTTACAAACAGAGAAACTGAAGCACAGAGAGAGATTGAGCAATTACCTAAGGTCCATAGCTAGCAATCGACAAAGTGACATCACTGGGATTTGAACTAAAACAATCTTACTCCAAAGATTGTACTCTTAACATCTATGTAATTTTGCTTACTAATAAATAATAAAAATGAGAGGGAGGAAGAGAGCGAGGGAGAGCACTGCTAAGATATTGCAGTCAGTAATGGAATCGAGGCTTTCCAATTTACCATCCCTTCTTATACTCATGTCAGGATTGGCATATTCCCATCACTTTCTTATATATCCATTTTTCTTTAAAGTGAGCACACAATGCAAGCTAGATTGAAAAAACAACACCCAAAGGAGTCACAGTGGGTAATTAAACTCCCAGCAGACATCAGTCTTGAAACCTAGCTTTTGATCACATTTGAAGACTCTTTTCTTGATGACACACTAAAAGATTTTTTTTTAAAGATTTTATTGGGGGAATTGGGAGAAGGGACAGTGCTGGGGAATCGGGGAAGGGGAACAGACAAGTTGCCATCCCTCTGTTCCTCAGTCTAGCCGTGGAGGACGCCGCCCACTGTCCCATGTTGGTATTGTGATCATTGCGTTCTTCCCGGCTGAGGCAGATCGGTCACTGGGCACTGGACAATGGCTCACGGGGGCTCACAGCAGCTCACGCTGCCAGCCGTTCACACTGGCCGCCGGACATCCACGGCAGCCCACGGCAGCCCACTACAGCCTGCTGCAGCCTATGCCATCGCTGACGACCCACAGCAGCCCAGCTCCAGGTGGGGCTGTTGTTCACCATCTTAGCTGCAGAGGGCAGTGTCACTGGCCCATGTGGGATCCAAACCGGTGGCGCTGGGGCTCAGAGCCCGTGCTCCCAAGTGAACTCCCAACCAATGTGGCACTCGGCTAGCCCTTTTTTTTTTAACAATTCTAATTTCATCTACTAACGCATAGATCTAACATTCAAAAAATCCTTGATTGATAATAATTATCTCTAAACCAGTGATTTCCAAACTTTTTAAATATTAGAATTGGACCTCAAAATAGCTCTACCCAATTCCTTCATATATAACAATGCCCAAAAATTAGTCTCAGAAAGGACCCCTTCCAGAGAAGAGCAGATGTCCCAGTTTTCCCTGAGTTCATCTCACCCTTTCTTGTGTCCACTAGAGAGAGAGAAGGGAGCTTATCACTAGGACTGTGTTGGATTCTCATCTTCACTACCCCTTTTACCCAGCAATGAGGAGTGCAGCTCCAACATGAGATCTGTCTTGAACTGGGCAATTAAACCTCCAGTCAACGCATTCTCTCCTTCCCTACACAGCACAATAAGTAGGGGAAGTAAAATGTTAAGATTTGGAAGGAATGTGAAAGTCAACTAAATGCACATTATTTAAGAAAAGTTAAGTGTGCTCACCCTGCTCCTCACAAAGCAATAATCAAAAACCTATTCACTTACTTCTTCTTCAAAGTCAATCTTTTAATGTATACTGGAAAGAATGAAGTGATACCTTCTCCTCTGAGGCTCTGCTTAAAATGGGAACTTGTGAAGTCACCTGTAAGTGAGTAAAAGAAAAGCAAATTTCATCTATAACAAGATACTAACTCTTTACCTATCATATTAGCAAAAATCAAAGTTTAATGTCAGGGCCGGCCGAGTAGCTCATTGGTTAAGAGTTGGCTTGGGAGTGCAAATTCTGAGCAGGAGGGCCGCTGGTTCAGATTCCACATGGGCCAGTGATGCTGCACCCTGTACAGCTAAGATAGTGAACAACAGCTTGACCTGGAGCTGGGCTGCCATGAGTCGCCCGCGAAGGTGTAGGCTGCAGTGGGTCTAGAGTGGGCTGCCATGAGCCGCTGTGAGCAGCTGTCCAATGGTCAGTGACCGATCTACCTCAGCTAGGAAGAGCGCAAGGATCACAATACCAACATGGGCCAGTGAAGAGACGTCCTCCACAACTAGACTGAAGAACAAAAGGACAGCAACTTGTCTGTTTCCCTTCCCCGATTCCCCAACACTGTTCCCTCTCCTCAATTCCCCAATAAAAATATTTTTTAAAAAAAAGTTTAATGGCATACTGTTGTTGAGGGTGTGGAGAAATTGTCAGTTTAATACATTTCTGATAGGAGTACAAGTTTTACAAATTCTATTAAGGCGAATTTGGCAATATTTATCAAAATTACAAGTGTACTTACCTTTAACTTGGCATTCCTACTTCCAAAAAATATATCCTATAGCTGTACTTGAACATGTGCAAAATGGTGACTATATAAGGTTATTCACTGTACCATTGTTTTCCAAAAATCAGAAGCAATCTAATTGTCCATTAATCTGGTTAAATTTTAGTATATCCATACAGTGGAAAATCTGTAGCCATTAAAAAAAAAAAAAACTGAATAGCCAACACAATACTGAAGGAAAAGAACAAAGTTGGAAGACTGACACTATCCAACTTCAAGACTTACTCTAAAGCTATAGTGGAGAAAGCAATAGTGGAGAAAGAATAAATAGATTAGTGAAATAGAATAGAAAGCCCAAAAATAAGTAGAATCAACTGATCTCTGACAAAAGAGCAAAGGCAATACCATGGAGCAAAGACCATCTCTTCAACAAGTGGTGCTGGAACACCTGGACATTCACATGCAAAAAAAATGAAATTAGACACAGACCTTACACCCTTCACAAAAATTAACTCAAAATGAATCACATATCCCAAAGTAAAATGCAAAACTATAAAACTCCTAGAAGATAATGTGGGAGAAGACCAAGATGACCTTGAGGATGGTCATGACTTTTCAGCTATACCACCAAAGGCACGATCCATGAAAGAAAGAACTGATAAACTAGACTTGATTCAAATTTCAAACTTCTTGTGGTCTGCATCACAAAGCAGGTCTTGATCCTGGTCAAGAGAATAATAGGTCTTTACCATCACTTTAATGAGACTATCAATAGGTACAAGCACGCCTCGGATGTGTCCACCCTCAGCAGCGGCAAGAAGAGCCGGGAGATGGAACACAAGACCTTGACTAGTGAGACTGCACTTCTGCAGCCCAGGCTGAAGACAGAGGTCTCAGAACTGTGTGACAAAGCGAACAAAATGTGCAAGTCAAGGAGCAGGTGCTGAAGTCGGTGGTGGAAGCTGAGCAGGTGGCGCTCGCTGGCAAATTCAGGAAAGACACTGACATCAAGAACCAGAGGTTAGCTCAGGAAAGCAAACGGAGCTAGTCGCCAAGATTGACCACATCTTGGATGTTCTGTAGCCACTACCAGGTGTCCTCAGGTGGGCCCAAGGTGCTGCACTTTCAGATGGCAGGTGTGTGTGTGTGTGTGTGTGTGTGTGTGTGTGTGTGTGTGTGTGTGTGTGAGGGGGTGAAAATCCAGGCCAGTGAATACTGGCATCTGTATTTTACAAAAAGCCTTCAAGAAAGAGAAGCTAGGCCCTGCCTCAGGCAACACAACCAGCTTAGTTTTTGTCCCTAAAGCGTTCCTTAAAAAGAAAAAAAAAAAAAACACAAAACTTAAATTCCATCAAAAACAAAATATCTTTGTGTTTTGAATACAGAATTTTTCATTATTTGATTGTTTTTCCTTTGTTCTAAAGCCTAGGATATCTTTCAAGCCTGTAAGCCCCGTGTTTCATACCTTTCTAATTCCTGATGTTTGGATATTTTGCAAGTGTGTGTGTTGTGTGTTTTTTAAAGCATGTGTGACCAAATGAAAAATAAAGCAGGGACTGTGAACATTTGTTTTGTTCTGTTGAAAAAAAAAAATGTTTAACTTCTGTTCTGTGAAAGACAATGTCAAGAGAATGAGAGAACAAGGCACAGACAGGGAGAAAATATTTGCAATTAACACATATGATAAAGGACTGTTATCTAAAATATACAAAGAACTTTTAAAACTCAATAATAAGAAAACAAACAACTGATTAAAAAATAGGCCGAAGACCTTAAGGTTGTCTACCTCATCAAAGAAGATACATAGATGGCAAATATGCATATGAAAAGATGTTCCACATCCTACGTCATGCGGAAATGGAAATTAAAATGAGACAGCAGTACTGGCCATTAGCATGGCCAAACTCTAGGACACTGACAACACTAAATGTGGAGCAACAGGAACTTTCATTCATTGCTGGTGGGAATGTAAAATGTTAGACATTTCAGAAGACAGTTTGGCGGTTTCTTACAAAACTAAACATACTTTTACCATACATTCCAGCAGTCTTGCTCCTTGATATTTATCAAAGGAGTTGAAAACTTATGTTCACACAGAAACCTGCCTGTGGTTTATAGCAGCTGTATTCATAATTGCCAAATCTTGGAATCAAGATGTCCTTCAGTATGTGCATGGGTAAGTCAACTGTGATACATCTGGACAATGGAATATTATTCAGTGTTAGAAAGAAATGAGCTATCAAGCCATGAAAAGACATGGAGGGAACTTAGATGCATATTACTAAATGAGAGAAGCCAATCTGGAAAAGCTACACACTGTAAGATTCCAACTATATGACAGTCTGGAAAAGGCAAAACTACTGAGCCAATAAAAAGATCAGTGGTTGCCAGGGACTGAAGGGTGGGGGTGCGATGAATAGGCAGAGCACAGGATTTTAGGGCTATGAAAAGACTCTGTATGATACCATAATGATGAGTACATTTCATTATACATTTATCCAAACCTATAGAATGTATAGCACCAAGAGTGAACTGTATTGTAAACCATGGACTTTGGGTGATTATGATGTATCAATGTAGGTTCATCAATTTTAACAAATGGTAACTTTGTAACCATTTGTAATAAATTGTAACTCTGGTGGGGGATATTGGTAATAGGGAGGTTATGTATGTGTAGGGGTAAGGGATACATGGGAAATCACTGTACCTTCCCCTCAATTTTGCTGTGAACCTAAAACTGCTTTTAAAAAATAAAGAAAAAAAAAGAAAAAAAAAAAGAATTAAGAAGCTCTATATGCCGATGTGAAATCATATACAAGATATAGTTACAAAAAAAAATACAGAATCATGTGGAAGGTGTACCAACATCTGAATTTTTTAAAAAAGGAAAAAAGCATCCACGTATATTTGCGTGTGACTGTGTGTGTGTGTGTGTGTGTGTGTGTGTGTGTGTGTGTGTGTGATCTTTGAAAAAATACATAAGAAACTAGTAACACTGTTCACTGTTGGAAATTAGAGAAAAAACTGGATGGCTCAGAGACAGAGGTTGAGAGGGAATACTCACTAAAGGACCTTTTAGGCTTTAAAAAAATTTAAGTCTGAGATTGTATGACCTATTCAGTTAGACTTTTCCAACAAATAAAAAGCAACATCACAATAAGAAGTTTGGGAGGAAAATATAGGCTTTTCTAATTTACTTTACAAATTTGAGATGAGAAATTTTCAAGAACGTGCTGAGAACTGGACCCAACGTGTGTTTTTGATTTGGACTGAAACTTGGACATTAAATAATAGATTCACATTTCTCTTTTGATAATGAAAAAGAAGTTGGTCCACAGTTTGTGTTTACTCTCTCTTCTAAGAATGTATTTTAATGACTTACTCAGTAAACAGAAAAATACTTCCAATTCACAACCTATTGAAAACAAGAAAAGCTGTGGTTCAGAATAAAACACTCGTTTTTGTTTTGTTTTGTTTTGTTTTCAGAATAAAACATTTGTATACATACTTTTTTTTCTTTTTCAATTTGAGAAGAAAAGATTCCTCTGGCATTCACATTCAGACACTGCTGAGGAAAATAAAAGAATCATCACATTACAGGGATTTCTCTATGCAGAAAAATAAAACAGTGTGGGAGTAGAAAAAGGAACTTTTTAGCCTTCACTCTATTATAAATATGCTACCAGCATAAGATGGGTTTAGTTCCTCAGGAGTGGGAGGAATCTGTTTCCCATTGGCCCACTGAGTCTGAAGGCAGCCAATAGCTGAGGCTTTATGACAGGGAAGAAAACTTGAAAAATCAAAAAAAAAATCTCTGCAGTCCTGTTATGAAAATCCAGAAAAGCTTAAGGAACACTGCTTTAAAAAATTACACAGAGTGAAAAGAAATATTACTAAATGTGAATTTTGGTGAGATTTTAAAAGATAGTAAGAAAGAGAATTGCTTTTCTTTTCTTTAAAATTGCTTCTCAGTCGCCTACTTCTATCACTTAGGAGCCAGGGGGTGATTACTTATTTATTTCTTCATTATTAAAACCCAAGTATTCTTTTTTTTTAATTTTATTTATTAAGTTGAAGGTTCAAAATTCAAATGGCACAAAAGGATATACAACGAATAGTTTACCTCTGGTATCTATCTCCCAGCAACCAACACTGTTAGTTTCTTGTGTATCGTTCTAGAAGATATTTTATATGCATACAAGAAACCCTCCCTTTTTTTCTCTGTTACACAAATGGCTGTATGGAACCAATCATCTTTACATTGAAAGGAAAATCAAATTGTCTCTACATAATCCTAACTCCTTATATGAACACCTTACTGTTTTCTATAAAGAAATCTCTTTTAAAACAATAATTTTCTTATTGGGGGGAAAATAAATGTTTTCAATATCTCCCACATCACTCAAAGTTAAGACAGAGTTGTTTGACAGAAAGAGGTCTAGAGAACTAAATTAAATTGCATAGGATTACATAGCAAATCAACTCACTTAACTTCTGGTCCAGGATTCTGACCCCTGAAAAAAACCGCATACATCTTCAAAGTTCCCACCAGGGGTAGTCTTGCAGACGTTCCATAGCACTCCACAGAGACCTGTTCTGAGGTGCAGAGTCCCCTTCAATTAAATGAAGAAGGAAAGGAGAGGGGAGTGGGAAGCTGAATTCAAATGTTTGGTTCTTGTGGACTAGCAACAAGGAAGTGAAGGCGGATGAAAGAGAAACCATGACCACCTTAGATCTGTTAATCAGTAACTCACATATGCTAGCATTAAACTAGATCCTTCTGCCTTCCAGTAGCAATTTAACAGGCACCTGAGTGGCTGCACAGCCTCATAAGTCCCTTGCTCAGTTCAGAGCCAGCCATAGAGAAAAGAGGCTTGCTAGTAGGATAAGCCACAGAAAAACTCAAGAGGAAAACCCAGAGAGCCTTCCAGGGTCCCATGCAGCAAATGAAGCTGAGGATGAATTCCAAAGTGGAGTCCAGCATGCTTTTAAGTTGTGGTGTGCTACTAAGAACACTAGGCCTGGGGTTTAACAGCCTAGTTCAAGGTTCAAGTCCCAGCTCAGCTGTGTGAGTGTGGACATGCCTGAGCCTTCATTTCTTCCTGGGTAAACCAGCTCAAAACTACTGCAAATCTGAAACCAGCTCAGCACAGTCCAATTTCAATTTCCCAACACCATGGCAGAGCAGTTTGAGGAGCAGCAAACTCCAGTTTCTGGCAACAGGCTTGAAATTTTCAGCAACTGTCCAAGGTGATTTCAGTCTCCAATTTGAAAAACATTACAGGAAGACACCATCTGTTCTATCCAACAGTAAGTCTCTCAATACTATTTCAGGAAAAATAAGTGAGCAAAGTTTGTATATGATACAACCAACATCTAAGTCTTGGGATGCCAGAAAACACATTAAAATCACGAGGGACGGGTTCTCTTATAGGCCCACCACAATTAGACAACAATTCAGTAGTGATACATGGGCCGCTTTGATGTGGAAAAGTATCTGTAAAAGAGAACCTAATCACCCTTCACTTCTAAACAAATAGCCAACACAGTTTATAAACAAAGTCTTGAATGTTTTTCTGGAGCCAGGCCTGAATTTATAACCTTCTAACCTCCATACAGGAAATGCAACTTCTCCACTCACCAAAAAGCTGATCAGAAAACAACTTCTGTCTTTACTTTGGCTGGAGTGGTGAATTGGAAAAGAAACTAACCTCTTTGAGCCTCCTCAGTAACATGGGATAAGAATTCCTGCATCTCTTCATTATTATGAGTTTTAAAGTGACATAAAGTGAATGCCCAGGCACCCGATGCAATGAATTAATGTTCATTTCCTCCTTTTCTTCCAGAACTCCTTGTATAAGGTATTTACTAGACAATATCCAGAAAACTGTTTCCTCTTGTATTAAATCCTAATCATGCCAGGATCCCTCAGGCCAAAACTGATACTGAGAAAGACATTTTGCATTTATACATGTGTACCACATACATTCTCATGATACACACATGCTTATGACTAAATATATAATCAGAAGGTGCCCACTGTCAATTCAACTCAACAAAATTAGATTAAATCACATAACATTGCTGATGTTTAACCATTTTATACCTACAACTACAGCAATTTCATATGGTTGCAAATATCAAGTCTGGAGCAAGGATTTCATATCTGCCCGCCCTAGACTTCCTGGAAACAACAGGATCATTAGAAATCAGAACATTGGCATTTTCATCCCAGTTCCGCCACTGACTTTAAGAAAATCATTTAGCAACCTTGGGCCCTGGTTTGCTGATTTAGATAACAAACACAATAGATGCGTTTTTTGGCTCTGTAATTTTATGACAATTTTAAGCAGGCATGTAGTTTAGTGCATCCAAAATGCAGAGTTGGTGAGAACGTTTTTAACTTTGCTATAAAAGTTTTCTTAGCTATCCCTTCTGCATCCATCCTGTCCTCTTTTACTTTGAAGCACAGAAGACAGAGACCTTGATGATAATAACATAAAGCTGTGTAAACTTCTTCACGGGGCTCTTAAAATGCACTTCTAATTCGGCACACCCTACCACAGCAGTACTGGATTTCTTCTTAAACAAAAACGGTCATGGGTGTCAAAGAGATGTGAGTGAGTGTCCACTGAACTGTGTCTAAATGATTTTCCTTGTGAGCAAAGCCAGCCTGGAATAAGCTCCTATGAGTGAGAAGAGAGAACATGCTTCCCAGGCAGAGGAGGCATTGTTCAAAGTAATGAGTTCTGCACCACTTGGTCCACAATTCACAGCTGAGTCTGATTTTCCTAGACAAAGAGCAATAACCAAATGAGGATGCTCTCCAGCAAGCTTCTCGGAGCCAATCATTGTTAGTTGACTCATGAGGTGGTGAAGGAGGCTACAGTCTCCCTAACCTTCTATGTCCTAGGAATGACAGGAGGAAACCTTTGTCAGCCTTGGTCAATGTTAGGCCGAGTTTGTCATGGCTGTAATGGATTTCAATAGTCTAAATTCACTAAAAATGCCTAGAAGTGATTCCAGCTCAAAAGTTAAACAATGTTTAAATGCCCTATTATGTTCCTTTCATCCATCTATCATAATTTTATATACCCCTTCTTTTTTTGCTCAGAAAAATGAACAGCCATGATCCTTTAAGCGTGCAGACCAACACTATTCTTAGAAGGGAGAGCAGGAGGTTTATTATGTCCTGAAACATGGAGCCAGAACAAAGGACTACTGACTCACTCACCTTATCTTCATCTAAGAAACCTGAGAATTACAGAGAATTCTCTGTTCCTCCCCAACTCAAGAACTCCACTTGCCAAGACGAGGTTTTAGGGCTGAGTCTGTACTACAAAAATATAAGAATATAGGTGCATGCAATGTTCACTACCATATATATAGACTCTTACCTAAAACACTCAAAAACAATGTTCAGGATGTTTTTCTAATCAAAGTTTAAGCATTTGTGTCTGAATCTAGAAATCTGATTGCTCGGCACTAAATCGACTGTTCTTCTTAAGGGGATCCTAGGTAGTATCCCACCCTGAAAACCTCAAAAGCATCAGAATTATTTCTGAACTCACAACTCTTAATTCACTGAGGGCAGGAATCTGGATTTATTTATCTTGTCTTACATATAATTAGTTTTCAATAAATATTTGTTGACTAAATGAATTAATCAAGTAGAAAACATTTAATTAAGAGTTTTCCCATTATGACAACCTAACATAAAGCACCTTTATCATATTCTATTTTTACAAGGCTATCCTTATAATTATTTAGAAGACTAATTCTAAAAATAAATTTAGTTGATGTTGAAAATGTATCAATCAGAAGCAATGACTTTAACAGTTTTTATAAAGAATTTAGTGCAGCTATAAATCCTGGCTCTGCCCATCCACCTTCACTCCCTTTGTCTCATTCCCACTGCCTCTCCCCAGCCTCCCCTCAAGCACTCCCAATCTCATTATCCCATGATCTGCTAAACTGCAGTTTACCTCCTGGAACCAGCAGAAACACATGTCACTGAGAATTAGGGAACTGGAGCCAGTTACAAGCCACCAAATAGGGTCACAAAGTATCTGAACCTGAAAATTAAGAGTTTTTCTATTTTTTTTAGTTATGAGAAAAGGGAAAAAAACTTAACGAAACTTTTTTTTAACATTCGACCTAGATGGGCTGCATGTCTAGGCATTTATAATGAATGGGGTGGGAGAGAAAACTTTAACAGCCCGTTATTTGCTAATCATCTGAAAAGTAATATTATGTTGACTTCATTTGCTGATAGAAGGATATTGTCTGAAAACTTCTAGCACCAATAAACAGTTGCAATTCTTGAAGGCAAATTATTTTAAAATAGAATAAAGCAAGACAGTGCTCATATATGACTTGATCTAAGGTTTTTTTATGCCACACTTTATTCCAAGAAGAATAACTCCATTTTAAACTTTTACCAGCAGTTACATTAATTCTAACCAATGTTTACTGAATAGCAACTAGGTATATCAATCATGCTGCCAAATATTGATGCAACCTAAGAAAAATGAGCGAGGAGAAGCTACAGCTCCTTCTACATACCCCTTAAAATGTGTACCCTTGCCAGATGCTAATCTGTGTGTAAATAAATGGGAGTTTGAAAGGGGGATGGAGCTATCAAGACTCACACAATTTTAAGAAAAGGAAAATGACTCTCCTAATAGAAGAAGTCTTGAGAAATCTGACTGGTTTGCTCAAGGCTTCTTGAAACATTCCTTGCAGAAGATTTAGAAGATTAACGCCAGGAATGACCAAAACTACGGAGCAACTGGAAAAACAATCACCTCCCCTTGGATAGCCTTTGTTTCTTTTCACTGGCATTTATTTTACTTTGGTCCATTTGGAGCGCATCGCGTTCTCATACACATACCATGAGGAGACAGGGGGGCTGTGGGTTTGTACATGCCCCGCTCTCCACCTGCGGAAATGAGGCATAAGTCTGTCCTCAACGCTCAAGGGCAAGCACCTGACTAAATTTTTTGAAACGCCACACCAGGAAATAAATAGACTTTATTTGCCTCCACTTTCATGGGCTAGTAAAGAGGGGCGGGTCTCGATTACTGTACCAATAGGCAATTTCTCACCATTTTTCTTGCGTCTATGATCAAAATGGTACTGTTGCCGCCCAGGGTGGGGAGGGGGATGTCTTCTTTTTCAATTTAGTTGGTTATTGTTTTAATGCTGAACGCCTAAGGTCAAAAATGTAATCACAAACTGATTCCGAGTTCCAATCAACAAAGAAAAAGTCCCAGGGAGGAGGAGAGAGGGCGGCGCAGACGCCCCACAGGGAACAGGGCTTTGGGGCGCGCGGGGTGGCGTCTCGGACTCGCGGTCCCGTCGCCATGGGAACCCCGCGCAGGCGCAAAATGCGCCGCCGCAACCTGCTTCCACCGCGCGGCGCCGCTCCGGTGCCCCTAGTTTATTCCAGGAAAAGGCAATGGAGTAAATCCTCCTCTCACTGAGAGCACCCGGTCTTCTTCGAGAGGGTCCTGAGTGGGGTCATCGAGCTCAGGAAGAACCGTGAGACTCCCCAAGCGTAATGGACACCGCACTCCCCTTGCTGGGAAAGGCGGACCTGCTCTCTCCGCGGACAGGGATTGGTCCCCGGGACCCCGCGAGGGGGGTGAAGCATCCAGCAAGGATGCTTTTACCCCCCACCGGGTGAAACCCCACCCCCCACCACCACAGGAGACCTGGGAATTAAGTTCTGGCGTAGGCTCACATACCCACAGCGTTCTGAATTATGGGACCCCGAAACCAGCAGTGGTCCAATTTTCCGCGCAGAGGCTTGCGGGATCCCCACGCACAACATTCACACAGTCCTAAAGAGCGTGTCTCGGCTGCGACTGCAGAGAGGAACTCGGGCCACCTGCTCACTTGCACACCTGGGCTGGCGGGCCAGTCCTCTTTCTCTTTCTCCACACCTCCTCGTTTCCCCGAAAGCACTGACCTGCTCAACTTTGAGAGTTCGGTAGATGGAGTCTTCAGAGTCCTCGGCAGAGAAGAAACCTCCAAAGTGCTGAGGTTCTGAGTTATTGGCTCCTGTGACTCTAACTCCAAAGCCCGATCGAGGGGCAGAAAAGCCCCTCCCCCCAAAGGCACTTCACCCCAGCAGCCTGCAGAAACCCCCAAGACGGGCTGGGAAGAGCGGAGCGCCTTCTCCACAACCTGCTTTCTCATTCAAATCCTCACGCTCACTCTGCAGCCCCCTCCCTCCCAGAGCCGCAGCTCCCGCAGAAATCTGGAACTGGAGCGAGGGAGAGTGGACTGGAGCTACCGCAGCCTCCAAGGGCCCCCGCCAAGTGGATGTAGGGTCCGAGTTGCTGGGCTTCGACCCGTAGGCCTACACCCGCTTGCGGGGCTCCCCAGCAAACAAGGGCCAGAAGCACTGGGAATTAAGTCTCTCCCCGCCCCTACTCCCGCCTCAACTTTCTAAGGTTCCCAAACCCAAGGACACCCCCTTGATAATCAGTTTGGGGCTGCGTCCCGGTGAGCCTCGGTCGTGGGAGGGCAAAGGAGTTCGGCGACACGAAGTTGGAGGTGAGGGCGTAGAGAATGAGAACTGTGTGCAGCTTGCATCAAAGTAAAATGTGTCAGGACCACCCATCTTATCGCCCCTCCGGTTTTTTTACCATTCTAAGAAACTAGGCTCTGTTATGCTGTTGTAACCAAGGAAACCCGCTTTGAGTAAAGTGCAGTTAAGACTGAGGAAGAGGGAGTGTAGGTAACACTCTGCTTTTATCTTCTCTCCCTCACCCCCCGCCATCTCATCTTTTTCCAGATTCTTCTAAGCGTTAACTGGCCAATTATTCAATCAGATCGATTTAGTGGGTGGTAGATTCAAGCGGGCAACGCGTGGTGAGTTGGAGCACGGCCATGGTGGAGGAAAGTTTGCGCACAGTAGGTACTCTAATGGTGATGAAACGATGAAATCTATTGAGCGCACCGCTGACGCGATGAGTGAGCAAGGTGGTACCGCGGCTGGAACGCTGACCACCGCTGGCCTCTGCAGCCGCGGTGTGATCCGGCGTCGGGATTCCAGGATTTACATTTATCAGCCTTCATTCAACCTGCCCTATTGTTAGTTCAAAGCCTGCCTGGGAGGGACTGCTCCTCACTCACCTTCAATTTAAAATTCTCCACCAATAAGAAGGTCCTAGAAAAGCTGGCAGCATGGGGCTGGCAGGGATTTTCTGGGCTTAGTGACAACATAAACTAAAATCATTTTCTTTTTCATGCGTGAATTTGCTCAGGAAGTTACAAATGAGTGCCTGAGCTTGAAGAGCCGGGTCTGGCTGTGGGTACTGTTTGACTGACAGAGTGCGTGTGTTGGTGGTGGGGTGGGGGTCGGACAGCACCGTGACCTCTAGCGCAAGATCTAGGGTTTCACCTTTTCATCCCACTTATCCGATACCATAGAAACAACCCATTTGTATTATTCAATTCAACAGAGGCAATTACAATGTCACAGCAAAGCACCATGGGCAAGAGGAAACTTTATCCTGAAAGCAAACCTGGACTCTCAAAAAAAAAAAAAAAAAGGAAAAGCCGCCAGAATAGTCTCTTCAATTTCTTCCTGCCAGGGTTCCAGTAAGAAATTAGTTTGGAAAAAGACGTATAAGGTGTTTTGGCTCCATAGAAAGAAACGTCCCAAATTTCCTCTTTTTTTTTTTTTAACATGCTCACACAAATCCCCAATTTATCAGAAATTAAAGAGATAACCCTTTTACACCCAAATTGCTTTTTGCTTTGTAGGCATGAGGTTTTTGGAGATTTGTTTGGCTGGTAATCTCTTTGGTGAATAGGAAGGACAGAAAAATAAAATCAGAGAGAGAGAGAGAGAGAGAGAGAGAGAGAGAGATTGATTCCAAGACAACCCCACACACAACCGAGAAAGTTATCTCCCTCCACCTCCTGTGTTTGTCTTTCTCATCTCTGAAAAATCAACCATAGATGTACATGTTGAAATAAACTGATACAAAATTCATAACAAGAGCACTTGTTTGCTATGCATTCTTTATTTTGTTAGTTTTAATGTCCATAATTTTGTGAATTTTACATTTTTTTAGTTATGCAATACTTCAAGCCTACCAAAAACAAACACCCATATAATACTCTTGCTCCCTCCACCCCTTCTTTTTTAAATAAAATATAACAGATACAGCTAAAACCCCTTCTCCCTATCTTCCTTGCCAAAGGCAGCCAATCTGATGTTGGTGTGAATCGTACTTAAGCATGGTCTTAAAGTGTTTAGGACATATGTACATATCCATAAACCTTTTAACGTAGCTTTTCCCTCTGAGTCTTTTTTTATACTATTAATCAGAGAAAAATCATTAACTAAAACCAAGAAAATATTGTTGTTACATAGCTAAGGTTTTGGAAGCAAGACAGAACTATTTTTCCCTGCTTGTGACAATCAGCGGGAATAATAACAAAGGGATTAGACAGTGGGTAATAAACAGCCTCTCTAGGTTACACAAGCTTTTCCATGGTTACCAAAAAGTCAATAGAAAAACAAAACAAATAATACCCCCTTACTTCACTGGCTACAGGGGAATTGGAAAAAATGGGATCTAGGTTAACACTTCTTTGAATTATATGTCCTATATGGTAGTAAAGTACCTTTTTTGGATGGTCTCTTGGTCACAAAAGCTATAATCTTTTAGTAACCATTTACCACTTTTCCAAGTGTTAAGGGACTCCTGCTGGTACCTCAATTCAAAATTGAAATCAGCCCAGCTGAAAAGTCTGGGGTTGAATCCTCCCTGTTTCTGCAGCGGGGGACCTCCATCGCGCAGTGAGTTACAGAAAGCCCTTTACAGCGGCTCTTTGACCTACCCTCCTCTCAGCAGTAAAAGGGCTGTGAAAGCACCGATTTTTCTTAAATGCCACTGACTGGTGAAAGACATCCTTCCCAACCCCCACTCTCCTCTCGCTTCCAGAGCGATGACTCTCATTAATTATACTGGCACAGCACTGCCTGGCCTCCCTTCTAAATAGCTGCCAGATTTCTACATATCACCTCTGCCTTGATACAGAATGTGCACTGACACCAGGATGACAGAAAACCCTGTAAAAGCTGCCTGATACATGCGAAGATGATTGATGCACCTTGTGGTGGGCCCGCTGTGCGGCATATCGCTAGGGTTTTTTTTTGGAGAACTGTACTAGGAATCTGCGTGTTGGAAGTAGATTTTTATAGCTGTACAAAAATGGTGCTTTCAATTGCAAAAATAGCCACATTTAAGATACTCAGATTTAATCAACAATAACCTTTAAGTTATATCCATGAAGCAAGAGAGCGAAGATGACTATTATCCCTGTTTCACTGAATGCACGGAGAAGTCAAGACAATGATCAAAGAGCTTAGTGATTATCAAGGAGGAGCTCTCCCTCTTACAAGACATATTTCTTGAGCACTTACATGTGAGCTTCCTTTATAGACTGGTAAGGGTGGGGAAAGCAGTCCCAGGGACAGCTCCAGACTGCCATCATCTCGGTTCATGATCCCAGAGGAAAGAGAGGACTCCTTGCTTTTTACCTTTTGTAAATAAGATTGTAGGAAAGGATTCTAATTGACTGGTTCAGGTCATGTGTCCATCCACAGATCAACATGGTCAGCAAAAAGTAGAGTATATGTGTGGCCAGTCCCTGATTACACACCCATCCCCATAGCCAGGGAGGTGGGATAGTATGAGTAGCAGCCCCAGAACTCCCAGAGGGTAACATAGGAAGGATTTGTTCCCCATAGGACGGTAGGAAGGGATTCCGGAAGGTAGGAAGGGATTCCAGCAGATAAAAAGAGTGGGTGTTCCCTACAGTACCCCCTCCTGAACTGGCCACCAAGGAAAGACATCAATACCGTTTTGCAGATTCATATGTATATGACAGATTTTTTTAAAACAAGTCCATCAGGAAGAACTAGGGGAGTAGGGGGTGGGGAGGTGGGGTGAGTGAATCAGTGTAAGTGCCACCAATCTTTTTCTCCCCCGGCTGGAGAGTTTTGTTTTGTTTTGTGTTTTTTACTTTTTATTGTGGAAATTTTCATAGGCCCATGAAAGTAGAATCCTATAATGAAGCCCTATGTATTAGTCACCAGTTTCAACAATTGATAATATTTTGGCAATCTTTTATCTATTCAGGAATGTGGGGAATTCACTAAAATACTTAAATTCATAACTTAACACATTGTTGCAGTGCTATAATCTTGGTTAATGGAAGAAATGCAGGCCTGAAAATAAATAAGACCAATATATGTGAAGCTTTTAGCAAAATGTCTAAATTGAGCTCTAAAAATGTCAATTATTTTTACTATTATTGGCTACCTATTTAAAGCTTTTAAATGCTATTAAAGTCTACTTATTGAAATGTATTTGGCCTATGGAGGAAAAAGTAAATTTAAGACTAATCATCTGACCAATAGATAGTAACAGTTTTACATGATCCATTTTTAAATGTGATATTTATATGAAACAAAATCTCAATAGATTGAGAAAATGCTCCAGAGAATGACAGTTTTTGCAGTTTATTTTCTACACTGGAATAAAAGAGGGAGATATATGGAAGGTTATATGAACTCCATTGGTGGTAGGTAGATTAAAGGGCAGGAGAAAGCAAAGATGGGTGGGAATCTCTAGGATTGGATAAAAGGTAAAACAGAGAGACATATACTTCTTTTACATTGGTGGGCACAGGATAGGTAATAATTATCACTTGCAGCACACAGAGATGGGGTGTAGGAAACAAGATAACGATGAGGGGTTCTGTGGTCTGGTGCTCTGGTATAGAGGTTGTGCCCTGAGTGGTCTGGAAAAGAAAACTTCTCTGACATTTCAAAGGTATGTTATCTTAGATGCAAAAAGACAATAGACAGGCTCACTTACAGCCAAGATTGACCTTTGTCAAGGAAGCTACAGGCCTAGAATGTGACTACCCACCATGACCCGCTTTTAGTTAGGAATTTTTATGTTCAGACAATCCTATGTCATTACTTTTGGTTTCTGAGTTTGTAGGGCCCGCCATGCTGGCCTCCTCTGAGCTTGTCAGGTTTTGAATGTGGACCCCTTTTCATCCACACTTTCCCCTTTTGGTCATAAATCAATCTTAAGGATGTGTTAATGACCAATCTCTTGGTTGGATAAGGTGGTCCCACGGTGCTAGGAAAGCTCATTCCTAAGAAGTCTTAATGTCGTCATTTGTTTTGCTGAAATGGGACCACTGAGATGTGGCAAGACCATAACCTTAGAAGGAAGTCAAGGCTGAATTTTTTTCAAAAGGGAAAGGCAGGTAAATTGGAGGCGGTCAGGTCTCATGGGCCTTCATTAAGGGAAAAAAACAAACAAAAAAAACCCCACTCTGGATCATTTCTAACCTGTACACTATCATGATCCAAGTTTTGCTGTCCCACTTTTCTATATTTTGCATCTAGCATAATATTATAGTTTGAAGACACAACCATACACCTCTTCAATTTTCACAATCTGACCATAAGATAGGTTTCCATTTACTGATATTATTACTATTGCTATTATTACTATTATTATTATTACTTTAATATGGCCCATCTACTTCCCATTGGAAGCACTCAAGTGTCATTCATTATTAATCTGATTCCTGCTAGTTATGCAATTGGGAACTGTAACTTTAAAGTTTAATTGGGACCAAGGTTGTAATTATTACAGTTACCACCAAAAAATTTCCAGAGGCCAGGAAAACAGTAAGAGTTTTACAAGTAAATTTCCTGTGCTTCAGCAGCTGTTACAGAAGGCCATCTTTTTTTTTTTTTCTCATAGCCACTTCAGCCTCCATCTGATTTAACATAGTTAGTAGTCCTTGTTGGGTTAGGGGGTAAGCATATTCCCATAATTCAGTTCTAGCATTATTTATATGTAAAATTCCTTTCTCAAGA